ATGAGTGATGAATGAATGAGTCCTTATGGCTTATTACTTGTTAATAAAGATTGGTAATCTGAAGAGAATTGCATCATTTTGTCTTTCTTGAAAACACTATGATAAAGGTGAAAAGGGACTTAACTCTGTTTTTGTGACAACTGTACATCAACAGACTCACACAGGGGAGAAACCATATAAATGTTTGGAGTGTGGGAAGGGTTTCAGTCAAGGGGGAAAACTTACTGTACATCAACGGCCTCATGCGGGAGAAACTATATAAACAGAGTGTGAAGAGTGCTTCATTTGTAGTAGGAAACTCAATGTGTACTGACAAAGTCACACCGGGAGAAACCATTTAAATGTAAGAATTGTGGGAAGGGCTTCAGTGAAGGTAGAAAACTTACAAGACATCTACAAACTCATACAGAGGAGAAACCATTTAAATGTATGGATTGTGGGAAGGGTTTCATTCAGAGTGGAACTCTTACAAGACATCAACGAACTCACATGGGTGAGAAACCATTTAAATGAATGGAGTGTGGGAAGTGCTTCAATTATAACGGAGTTATTAATAAACACCTATGGGCTCTCACAGGGAAGAACCCATTTAGTTTTATGGAGTGTGCCAAGTTTTCCCCACTGAGTTCACTTTGTCCCTCATATCAACAAACTCATATAGGGAAAAATCCATTGTAAATGCATGGAGTGTATTTGATGTTCTGATGTTTGTGTGGAAAGTTGTACATATATGTATTAAAGCAATGAAGGTAATGTCTCCTAATAGCAAGTATCATGAAAGAGATAATGTACCATTAGGTGTTTGTAGAACATAACTCTGGAGGGGTCATTTTGAGTGAACATGTGCTGAGAGTCACTTGATATCTGATCTTTGGCAGAGAGAGTTGGGAATGGAGAGTTGTGAAAAGTGGAGCACGCAGGATTGGCTCTAGAATCATAGAAGTGTGGAGTTGAAAGGGACTCCAGGGTCTTCTAGTCCAACTCCCTGTTATAAGAACAGCAGCACAAAACCCATTTTTCTAATTGCAATAAAGGAACAATGAAAACACAGAAAGACTGGAAAGTAATCTCCAAAGCCCCCTATGTTGTTTATATTTTATGAATTCATTGTTTTACAATACCTTCACGTTCATGGCTACATTAATGGCAAAGTGGATAAAATCCCTGGCGGTAGCCGGAATAATGGAGGTGCCGCGGGGAAGAACCAATCTGGGGAGGGAAGGTGGCACAGGGAAATGTGGGCATTGCCAGTGGTTTCAGGAGGACCGCCTGAGGGAAGCCTGAATGTGGGATATGAAGCTGTCAGTCAAGTCCAACATTCTGAGAGGACTAACTGCCTCTATGTGGCAGGCAGTTTTGTCCGTTGGTCAGTTGCTGCAAGGAGTGTTAACTGTTAACTGCTCGGATGCCGTCTTCTCATGACTCACTACTATCTAGTATATAGTTTATCTGTTATGTAACCGAAGCCTGCCCTCAGGAACAACTCTGTCAACCTGAATGAATCTGTTAGTAAAGTAGTTTATGTTAATATGATTCAGATTCATGTGTGCTTTCTTTAAGAGGGACAGAAAGGGATTATTTTTTATGGGCTTAGCAGAAATGTTATAAGGAGTTAAGCATATATAAGTATTTTAGTTTTAATGGAAAAGAAGGTTAAAAAATAAGTTATTTACAATATCACAGAAAATGGAGAAAGATGGAAAGGATTTGCTGAAACAATTAATAGAAGTGGAATACAAAAAGGGAGGTGAGAGGAGGTCGAGGAAACAAGGGAATGAAAGATAGAGTATGGAAAAGAGATGATGTATGTTTTTAAATTGTTTTTGTTTTGTTTCATTTAGGGTTAAGGTTAGGGAGTGGGGTTTGTTTAGTTTAGTTTAATGTGTTTAGTTTTGAGTTTAGGTTGTGTCTTGTATTGTCTATATATTGTATTGTATGGTTTTTTTCTTTTTGCTTTTCTCCTTTGGGTTTTTTCTTTTTTTTCTTTCTTGTTTTTTCTCTCTTTTTGTAATCTATAAAAGTAATAAACATTATTAAAAAAAAAAGAAAGAAAGGGATTATCAACCGGGAAGGTATAATTATAGATAGGACTCAAACGAGTTAGCAACCCGCTTGTCCCTGCATAAACTCAAACAGGGGCTCGTTTAAACTCTGCTAAATTATATAAACGTTCCCACACTGAAGGGACTTGCCCTGCCTCTTTCCACCTGGCTTGGGGCTTCATAGTTTTCTGTTTGTTTCTATTGTTTTATATACCGGTAGTTTGTATCTGGTTCTTAAGGGGAGAGGGTCAGGGCAGCTGGGGAGTGGGTCCCAGCCAACAGAATGGCTGGGGCAGGTTCCACGGGTGGGGGGGATGTGCTGGGACACCCAATCTCAGTGATCACGGGTAGGAGGAGGAGTTATGCTAAGACCAGACCATGTCATTACTGAGGAGGCAGGTTTAGTTGTTGTTTGAAGACAATCCCTGCCTCCGGGTCTGGTCTTGACCAGATGGATACCAGAAACAACAAGGTAGATCCACATGAACTGAAGTTGCTGCTGTGCAATGCCAGGTCAGTGATTTATAAGACCACTTCCATCCATGACTTGATCGTGGATGGAGGACTTGCCCTGGCATGTGTGACAGAGACTTGGTTGGATGAAGCAGATAGGCATGTCCTTCCCACTGCTTGTCCACCAGGTTTCTCGTACGCACGCAACCCAGGTCATGTGGGCGGGGAGAGGGAGTTGCAGTGATTTTTAGGAAGTCACTAGCTTGCATCAGGTGTCCTACTGGGAAGGCTCAGTTCTCTGAGTGCATGTTCTGGAAGTTGGGCAATAGGGGCAGTACAGGATTCCTTTTGGTGTATTGGATGTTCTCCTGGAGACACCTAGCTTGGTTGTCCTACCTAGGGGATTTTAACATCCATGCCAACACGACCTTACAAGGGGCCGCTCGGGACTTCATGGAAAACATGGCCTCCATGGGGCTGTCCCTGAATAAGTTTGGCCCAACTCATAGTCACGGACATGCCTTAGACCTGGTGTTCACCTCTATTGACATGGGTAATCTGACCCTAAGTAAAAGCGAAACTAAAGAAGTGCCATGGTCAGATCACTTCCTGGTGCAACTGGATTTCTCCTCAACCCTTCCCCTCTGCAGGGAGGTGGGATGCTTTATCTCATGTTGATAGCCTTCCAGATGATTCCTTGGTGGCCTGCTGGAATGCGGAGTTAACCAGGGCTATTGACTGTCTGGCTCTGAAATGCCCTCTCTGATTGCATGAAGCCCGGACAGCCCTGTGGGTTTCCCCGGAGCTGAGGGCGATGAAACAATCGCTGAGATGGCTGGAGCGCCAGTGGTGATAAACCCATTTTGAATCTGACCGGACATGGGTTAGAGCTCAACATTGAGCCTACAAAGTGGTGATAGTAACGGCGAAGAGGACTTTCTTCACCACCTCTATCGTATCTGCAGAAAATAGCAGCAGGAGACTCTTTCAGGTGGTTCGCAATTTAACGGAACCAATTTTGCCACTGGGGCCTGGTAAAGACCCCAATATCTTTTGCAATGATTTTGCAAAGTTTTTTTTGCAGATAAAGCGCTCAGATTCGGAAAGAGGTAGACTCCACCATGGGAGCAGGGCCAGGGCGGGAGAGTGCTAGAGTCCTGTCTAGCCTTGTTACATGGGATCAGTTCCAATCTGTTACCTCCAAGGATGTGGACAGGCTGCTTGGACAAGTGAAACCGACCACCTGTCTCCTTGATCCTTGCCCATCCTGGCTGATAAAAGCGAGCCAGGAAGGGCTGGGCGATGGGCCAAATTGTGTCAAAGGTGTCTTTTTTGGAGATAACTTTGATTAGACACTAATGGCATGTGAGGCATTATGACAGAGTAATGGTCCAGATGTTATTGATCCAAACCTCTATTGTTATTTTAGAGGTTTCCTTCCATCATGGGCTGTGAACAGAAAGGAAATTAATTCTTTAGTTTGAAGCATAGAATATGGGGTCAAATATGGTTATAATAAGGTAAGTGCTGAATAAGGACAGATAGATTGTTTAGAGATTTTGGAGGTCAGATAAAAAGCTCTTCCCCAGAAGTCATGGACCATGGTACACCCCCACCAAACGCGAAAGTAGGAATCCGAGACCTTCTGCATGCAAAGAAACTGCTCTACCACTGAGCTGCACCCCCCCCCCCACGAAAATATAACAAAGTCTAAGTTTCTCCATCAGCTCCCTCTTTTTTAAAAAAAGGTACCCATAGTAATGACACTGGACCACCATTTAGGGTTGTCTTGTTACTGTTCTAAACCCCTTCCCAGGAGGAGGCTTTTTAGAAACTGGGGGGGGGGGGGGTGTCGTTTTTCGCTACTGCTGCCAGAAATTGAACCCATGAATTTCTTACTAAATAAACGGGAACATAGAGCTTGCCTGCTAGGAAGGGCATTTCTGTTTGCAGAGGGGGGGGGGCGGATCTCCTGCCCCTCCCCCTCCCTCTGCTCAATGAGCTCCGCTTCCTAGAAAGGCAGGGAAGTGTTTTTTTTTGGGGGGGGGGAGAGGCAATTTGGAGGGGAGGGGTCTCCATCTTCATTCCCGGAAGAGAAGCGGGCTTGGAGAAGAGGAAAAAGAGGTGTCGCATATTTGGGGGTTATTGGGGGGTGGGGGTGTTGTGGGAGAAGGATTTGCTTTCCCTCCCCCTGAATCTACAAATGGCAGCTGGGAAAGGAGGCGGGAGGATTGGGGGGGGGGGACAATGAAAGGAAAGCAGGGAGAGGCTTCGCCCTTTCTCTGTGGGAATGGGGGGTGGGCGAGATGCAGACCACCTGGCTACAAAGAGGGGTCTCTCCCCCCCCAACAGGGTTTGCATTGCAAGACCCTTTTCGAAGCGCAGCGAAGACACTTGAGACGAACCAGAAAAGGGTGCCCCCCCCAGTGGAACTTAATTACAAAGGGATTTGCAGCCCCACCCTGTGCATGTTGACTGAGCAGTCAGTCCTTCGTTCAAAGGAGAGCAGCCCCATTTCACCTAGTGATGCTCCTCTCTGTTTAACACCCTCCATCTCCCTTCTCACTCCTGCCCCCCCATCGCTCCCCCCAGGCTCTGCCTCCTGCGTCAGGGAGGCGGTCTGGACGGGAGGAGGGGGTGAGCTCCTCCAGGACCCTGACCTGCCCCCCTCCGAAATCTGCTGCTGAGGCCCCTGCCTCAGTGGGTCGGAGATCGTGAGGGCAAGCAGGGGAGAGGAAGTCTGTTTTGGTGCAGTGGAAGCAGCTGGAGAGAGGGAGATTTCGAGTGGGGGGGGGTGAGAGATGGACAGTGTCACGGGAAATCGGCCTCCGGGTGGGAGATCTGGCCTGTCTTGCAGGATTGGCCCAGCGCAGAGGGGCTGAGGGACTTTCTCTGCCGGTGCTGCCAGCCTCGCTCCTGCCTGGCTTCGTCCCCATCCAGGTTGCCAGGAGGGCCTTCTAACACTAAAGGTCTTCTAAAGCCCACCACCTGGGCAATGCTCACACAAGGACCCTGCAAGGCGGGCCAGGATGACAGCCAGATTGATGGGCAGGGCCAGAGGACAGAGTTGGTCGGGCTATGGGGCTGACTCTGAGCTTTGTCCAGGAGCTGCCTGCCTTCCAGGGATTTTTCCCAGCCCCACAAAAAAAAACCTCAGGAGGCAGCTGGGAAGCGTTGGAAAGAAGGTGTGGTGCTGGGGAAATTCCTGACGGCCAGAGAGAGAGAGAGAAAGGATTTGAGGGCCAATTCAGCCCCTGGGTCTGAGGTTTCTCACCCTGCAGTTCGGGTGCTGGGCTTCCACCAGGGAGACCCAGTCTCCCATCCCCCTGCTCAGGAGGGATGCCCTGTGCCCAGTTTGGACCCCCTGATTATTTCTCCTCCTGTCCTTCCTCCCAGTGTAGGGAAGATAAAAGGGGACACACACACACACACACACACACACACACACACAGAGGTTCCTAAGAGGACGGACTAGGGGGCCATAAGCCACTGAACTTCCTATCTCTGTCCCCTAAACTACAATCCATGTTAGCGCATAGAGTGCTCTAAATATTTCCTCTCCCCTTGGATGGAGCTTCTGCACCCTGGTGCCCCCCAGGTGTTGGTTTTCCTCTGTCTGCAAATACTGCCCATTATTTAGGAGTTTCCCTTATTTTCTTTATTCTAAATGTACCAAAAGGTCAGACTGTTTGGGGGAAAGGAACAGTGAGGTCTGCAGAGGTACTGACCGTAACACTTTCTGCGAAGCTTCATTAAGAGTTTGGGATTTGAAGCTGAATGTCCCCTAAAGACTGAGGCAGCTTATAGTATTACAAAGTTCCTGTAGAAAGGATTTCATCCTTCCAGTTCCCTGCCTTTGAAATTAGAATCTTTGCGTACTAGTTTATTAGTATTGATATTTGTAATTTGTAACAGGTATGCTATCTGTGTATATGTATCCCACTCTAATTAAATCAATCTTTCTGTGAACCGCCCTGAGACCTCCGGGTATAGGGTGGTATATAAATTTAATTAATAACTATTATTATTATTATTATTATTTCTTCATTGTTCTCCTAAAAGGTCTGCTCCCTGCATTGAAGTGCATCGTTGCAACAGCTGAGAGAGTCCTGGAAGTGGCCCTGTTTCCGCCTCCTCCTCCTCCTCCGTCCTTTCCACTGGCAGCGCAATGGACTCCGAGACCCCCTCTGAACGGCCTCTTCTTAGATTTGGAGTGGAAAGAGGAGCCAGGCAGCTTCCTCAGGTAGGGAAAGAGCAACGGGAGCAGGGAGGAGGGAAGAGGCACAGATGGGACCACCCAGCCTCCCTCTGTGTTGAGTGTGGATGATGGGGATCTAAGAGCAGCTCTGTCTTCTTCCTCGTCTTCTTCCAGGCCCTCTTGACCTTTGAGGAGGTGGCTGTGTTTTTCACAGAGGAGGAGTGGGCTCTGCTGGATCCTGGCCAACGAGCTCTGCACAAGGAAGTCATGGAGGAGAATTATGAGATGGTGGCCTCTCTAGGTAAGGGCAGATTTTTATTCCGACTGGCTGTCTGACGTTGAAGTTGCGAAACTACTGTTTGAGCCATTTATTCATGCTGTGTCTTCCTCTTTGGCAAATCCTCGTAGCCGAATAAGATTGTCTTCCATGAACATGGTCTTAACAGTGTGTCTGTTAGTGACTGTAGAGTCCAATTCTGGATCTACACATCCTTCCACAGTGGGGACATAGGTTTCCAGGCAGGAGTGAGGGTTTGCCAAACATACTTTCCTCTTAGCTTGTTTCTCCCTTTCATCCAGTGTGGTGTAGTGGTTAAGAGTGGTAGACTTGTAATCTGGTGAACTGGGTTCGCGTCTCCGCTCCTCCACATGCAGCTGCTGGGTGACCTTGGGCTAGTCACACTTCTCTGAAGTCTCTCAGCCTCACTCACCTCACAGAGTGTTTGTTGTGGGGGAGGAAGGTAAAGGAGAATGTTAGCCGCTTTGAGACTCCTTCGGGTAGTGATAAAGTGGGATATCAAATCCAAACTCTTCTTCATCCTGAGTTGGTGCTCCTTCAAAGTCCATGATGCCTTGGTAATGGCTATTCTGCAATTGGATGATGATGATGATGATGATGATGATAATTTATTTATTTCCCACCCATCTGCCCGGGTTTCCCCAGCCACTCTGGGCGGCTCCCAACAAAATATTAAAAATAGAATCAAACATTAAAAACTTCCCTAAACAGGGCTGCCTTCAGATGTCTTCTAAAAGTCAGATAGTTGTTTATTTCCTTGACATCTGATGGGAGGGTGTTTGACCGGGCGGGCGCCACTACCAAGAAGGCCCCCTGTCTGGTTCCCTGTGACCTCACATCTCACAGTGAGGGAGCACTCGCAGGCCAGTGTTTCCCAATTTTCTGTGCTTATACTGCATTTTTAAGATTTGCCTTGAGAGCATCTTTAAACTTCTTTTGTTGTCCACCGCCATATCAATTTCCATTCTTAAATTGGGAATAGAGTGGTTTCTTTGGAAGACGACAATCAGGCATCCGAACAACATGAGCAATCCAATGAAGTTGATGTTGAAGATTGTACTTTATAGCAACACTGTACTTTCGTCAGTAGGTAACTCTTCATAAGCTGATATTGTGGTATGAATTCACACAAAAAAACCTATGCATAATATACAAAGAGATTCACATGGTAAAAATGGTGGCATGAGCCTTCCTGGTCGGTGTCATTTATTAGCTTTTAATGGGCCACCAGATACTTTGCTGTTTTTCTTTCAAAAGATTAAAATTTTTGAATATTTTTTTAGTAACATATAACATAACCAACACTTCTGTTTTACTTATTCCACATAGCAGAGACTCTGATACTCAAGTCTGAGCTCATCTCCTCACTTCGAACAGAAAAATACAGAGATGTTGTCATGGACCAATTGAGAGGTACATACTTCCACTTTGCTGTGAGGCTATACCTTTCTATGTCTCCTTTCAGTGTTTACAGATATAAAAAGAGCCCTTTTGCATCAGAATGAGGGGCCATCATTTCCAGCATCCTGGTGCAGGTTTAGGTGATGTGTGTTAGAATTCCTGCTGCGAGATTGCAGACATAGGATTGTTGTCTATCACATGACGGTATATGTTTTGACTCCACAGAGTGGGAAGTGACAGAGACAGGCTGTTTGTGTTACTGTGTTCCGTGAAGTGGGACTATTGTCCTTTGTTCTTTTTGTCTTTGCTGTCTGATGCTAGAGAGAGAGGGAGCCATGTTGCAGTGCTCCGTGTGCGTTTATATGTAAATAAAGTAGATTAGCCAAAATGCTGAGTTGCTGGGGTTCTGTCACAAGCGGCGCAAACTCTGTGGATCTCTAAGTGTGCCGGTGTCAGTTGGCATCAGTCGCTGTGATGTTCAGGCAAAAGAAAGCTTTTGAAGCTCCTGAACAATTGACCAGGAGAGAGATAACATGCCAGTTGGACATGTGTCTCTGGCAGGGTCCTACTCGAGTGAAGGCTGAACTCCTGACAATGCGTACAGCTGGTTGGAATGTATCAGCGAGATATTACAGATCGGGGAGGAAGGAGAAAACTGAATACAGAGGCGTAGCATTTTCACAGGAGTAGGAAGATGGAAAAAGTGTGTCCCTTCAGATGTTGCTGCACTACAACTCCCATCAACCCTGGTCATTGGCCATCTTTACTTGGGTTGATGAGTCCAACCACATCTTGACGGCCATAGATGCCTCATCTCAGCATAGAAGGTTTCTCTTGGTGCTCAGTGTTACATGGGATTTGAAGGTAGAACTGGATACGAAGGGTTCTTGATATTATTTTCAGATTTCCTTTCCTAAAATGTGGTACAAGGGGGGGAGGAATGCTGGATTTGTTGAAATAAGAGAAAGTGCGGATTGGTCTTGCTGCGTGTTAATTTCTCTTGTTTTCTTCCTTGAAGACCTAACAATATTTTCTTTCCCCCAACTTTCAACCAGGTAATGTAGAAGACAATCAGAATTATGAGGTGCCACCTGTGAAGTACTTTAGTGTGAGTGAACACCTTAGCACACATCTACAAACTAACACAGGGGAGAAATCATTCAGATGTATGGAGTGCGGAAAGAGCTTCAGACAGTCTTCAAACCTTACTAGACATCAACAGATTCACACAGGGGAGAAACCATTTAAATGCATGGAATGTGGAAAGAGCTTCAGACAGTATTTACACCTTACTGTACATCAACGAATTCACACAGGGCAGAAACCATTTAGATGTATGGAGTGTGGGAAGGGTTTCATTAGGAGGGCAAGCCTTACTCAACATAAACGGACTCACACAGGGGAGAAACCATTTAGGTGTATGGAGTGTGGAAAGAGCTTCAGGCAGAGTAATAACCTTACCAAACATCAACAAACTCACACAGGGGAGAAACCATATAAATGTTTGGCGTGTGGAAAGAGCTACACTGAAAATCGGTCACTTGCAAAACATCAACAAACCCACACAGAGGAGAAACCATATAGATGTATGGAGTGTGGGAAGGGTTTCATTAGGAGGGCAGGCCTTACTCAACATAAACGGACTCACACAGGGGAGAAACCATTTAGGTGTATGGAGTGTGGAAAGAGCTTCAGGCAGAGTAATAACCTTACCAAACATCAACAAACTCACACAGGGGAGAAACCATATAAGTGTTTGGCGTGTGGAAAGAGCTACACTGTAAGTGGGTCACTTGCAAAACATCAACAAACCCACACAGAGGAGAAACCATATAGATGTATGGAGTGTGGGAAGGATTTCAGTGAAGCTGGAAAACTTAAAAGACATCACCGAACTCACACAGGGGAGAAACCATATAGATGTATGGAGTGTGGAAAGAGCTTCAGGCAGAGTAATAACCTTACCAAACATCAACAAATTCACACACGGGAGAAAGCATATAAATGTTTGGCGTGTGGAAAGAGCTACACTAAAAGTGCGTACCTTGCAAAACATCAACAAACCCACACAGAAGAGAAACCATATAGATGTATGGAGTGTGGGAAGGGTTTTAGTGAGGGTGGAAAACTTATAAGACATCACCGAACTCACACAGGGGAGAAACCATATAGATGTATGGAGTGTGGGAAGGGTTTCCGTGAAGGTGGAAAACTTACAAGACATCACCGAACTCACACAGGGGAGAAACCCTTTAGATGTACAGAGTGTGGAAAGAGCTTTATTCACAATGGAGCACTTATTGTACATCTACGAACTCACACAGGGGAGAAACCCTTTAGATGTATGGAGTGTGGAAAGAGCTTCAGTCAGAAAGGAAACCTTAAAAAACATCAACAAACACACAGGGGAGAAACCATATGAATGTATGGATTGTGGAAAGTGCTTCAGTAAGAGCATAACTCTTAGAAAACATCAACGATCTCACAGAGAAGCAATGGTTTAAATGTTTGAAGTGTGGAAAGTGTTTCCGTTATAATGGAGTCCTTAATAATCACTTACAGACTCACATATGGGAGAACCCATGGAGATGTCAAGTTTTCCCAACAGAATTCACTTTGTCCCTCATATCCACAAACTCTCATAGGGGGAAATCCATTCTAAATGCACGGAGAATATTTGATGTTCTGGTGTTTGTATGGAGTGTTGTGCATATATGTATTAAAGCAACAAAGGTAATGTCTCATAATAGTAAGTATAATGAAAGAGATAATGTACTGTTATGGATGTGTAGAATTTGACTCTGGAGTGCTCATTGTGAGTGAGCATGTGCTGAGAGTCCATTGATATTTGTTCTTTGCAGAGACAGTTGGGAATGGAGAGTTGTGAAAAGTGGAGCACGACAGTGGTGTTTAGGTAGCAGGATGGGCTCTGCAGTCCTAGATCTGTAGAATTGAAAGGGACTTCGGTCTTCCTGTTATCAGAGCAGCAGCATAAAACCCATTTTTATAATTGCAATAAAGGAACAATGAAAACACAGAGAGGCTGAAACCATCTTCATGCAGAAAGTAATCTTTAAACCATCATATATTGCTTAATCTTGGCTACGACATGGGGGAATGTGGGCATTGCCAGTGTTTATATTTAATTAATTAATTAATTAATTTATACATACATACATAGATACCCTGCCCATCTGGCTGGGTTTCCCCAGCCACTGTGGCGGCTTCCAACAAAAGATTAAAAATACATTAAAACATCTGTCATTAAAAACTTCCCTAAACAGGGCTGCCTTCAGATGTCTTCTAAACTTCAGATAGTTGTTTTATTTCCTTGACATCTGATGGGAGGGTGTTCCATAGGGCAGGCACCACTACCGAGAAGGCCCTCTGCCTGTTTCCTGTAACCTCACTTCTTTGCAGGGATGGAACCGCCAGAAGGCCCTCGGCGCTGGACCTCAGTGTCTGGGTTGAATGATGGGAGTAGAGACGGTCCTTCAGGTATACTGGACCGAGGCCATTTAGGGCTTTAAAGGTCAGCACCAACACTTTGAATTGTGCTTGGAAACATGCTGAGAACCAATTCAGGCCTTTTGGGGGGTCATTTGCCTGTGGGGAAAGAAATCTCTGTGCCCACATAATCGGCCCTGTTTCAGAAATCAGGTAGTATAGGAGGCCACACTAGTCATGTTAGACTGGTGGGGAAGAATAGGCCTATGAGCAGCAAACAAATTTAGTCCTCTTTATGTTGTGGTAAATCATCTTCAGCAAGGGTCCAGATTGACAACATTCTCAGCCGAATGACTCTTAGAAATAGGTTAATGATTTTGTATTAACTTTAAAACTTGGAAAGGCCAATCTAATAGCAGCTACCACAACTGATGACTTATGATCTTACTGACTGGATAGTTTGTTGGTCAGTGTGGTGTTCTGAGTTCTGAGAGTTTGTTAAGAGAGAGCTGGTTAAGATCCATATCTGTTCCTGTATATAGTAACTTATAGAGTCCGCTGTAAATAATAAACACATCTAAGTAACCAAGTTACCATTAGCAGCGTCTTGTTCCTGCTTCGTCCATCCTGCCTGCAACTGATTGCTTTCTGGAACTCTGCGTATGCTCTGCTAAGGTCTGGCTAAGTTCCTGCAACAGGTCAAATTTGCAAAACACCAATAGGAATGACATCTTAATAATCCCTGACATGGTCATTAAGATATTAAGACTGCACCTGGGACTTCCTTCTGCATGCAAAGCATTGCATCTGAGGTCTTCTGCATGCGAAGCAACTGCTCTGCCACTGAGCTTCACCCCCTGAAAGCAAAGCCTAACTTTGTCCATTGGCCCCCACTTTTTGAAAAGTACGCATTGTAAAGACACTGGACCACCCCATACCCACCGCAATTTCTCTGAATAGGGATGTCCTATTCAACAGCAGGGTTTCTGGAATATGTCTGGAATTTCTCAGACATACCCATGATACTGTAGTTGGAAGCAGTGTCTGGGTGAAAATCGGCAAAATGTCCCATGTCGGCAGTGCCATTTTTGCTGATTTTGCTAAAAGATAGCTCAAAAACTGCATTATATTTTTTTTTGCAAAATAAGTTCAAAAACTTTGGGAAAAACTAAAGAAAAAGCTGGACTGATTTTGTGTCCGGATCTTCACTTTTTGAAATATGGCCACCTAATCATCATCCTCACCTTCCAACATACATATATAAAAACATAATAAAACATTAAACAGCTTCGCTATACAGGGCTGCCTTTCAGATGTTACTTATCTCTTTGGTTCAGGGGTCGCATTTCTCCCTCCAAAATTTAACCAATGGATATAGGGACAACCTATGGAAAACATGGACATTCCGGGATTAAATGAGAAACCAGGATGGCTTCTGTAAATCCAGAGGTGTCCCTTGAAAACCCTAACCCCCTATAATATTATTGTAAGTTGCTGCTCTGAACCCCTTCCACCCTCTTTTCCCCAGGGGGGGCCTTTTCAGATGTAAGGTGTGCGTTTCCTCTTTTGCTGCCAGGGATTAAACCCGTAACCATCTCACCAAATAAATGGCAATACAGAGCTTCTCTGCCACCCTAGGAAAACAGGTCTTCCCCGGAATTAGGACGGATAGATTGTTCAGTGATTTTGGAGGTCAGATTAAGAAAAACTTTCCCCCAGAAGACATGGACCACGGTACACCCCCACCAAATGTGAAAATAGGAATCCGAGACCTTCTGCATGCAAAGCAACTGCTCTACCACTGAGCTGCAACCCCCCTCCTCCCAACAACAAAGCCTAGCTTTCTCCTTCAGCTCCTGGTTTTTAGAAAAGGTACCCATTGACACTGGACCAGCCTTTAGGGTTGTCATAAGTTACGGCTCTAAACCCCTTCCCGGAGGGGGGGCCTTTTCAGAAATGGGGGTTCGCCTTTCGCTACCGCTCGCAGGAACTGAAGGCATTGATTTCTCACTAAATACTGTAAAAGGGAATATACTGTACAGTAGATATTGCTGGCTGGGAAGGGCATTTCTCTTTGAAGGGAGCGGGAGGCGGATCTCCTGCCACTCATCCCTCCCTCTGGGCCAATGAGCTCCGTTTCCTAGACAGGCAGGAAGTTTGTTTTTTTTGGGGGGGGGGGGAGTAGAAGCAAAGTTGGAGGGGGAGGGGTCTCCATGCACATCCCCTGAAGAGAAAGAGGCCCGCAGAGGAGGATGAAGAGGTACCACGTATTTTGGGGGGCGGGGGGGCGCGATTTGGGGTTGGGGGTCGGCAGAATAATTTGCATTTCCTCCCCCTGCACCTATAAACAGAGCAGCTGGGAAAGGAGAGTAGGGGGGGGAGGGAAATGAGGGGAGAGCAGGGAAGGGCTCCCCGCTTTCCCTCTGGGTATCAGTAGGGGGGGGCGGGATGCAGGCCATCCTGTTGCAAAGTGGGGTCCTCCCCCCACAACGAGGTTTGCATTGCAAGATCCTTTTCGAAGCGCAGAGATCCAGGCAGCCGCCCATGGTGGGGGGAGGGGGGCGGCGAAGACACTTGAGACGAATCACAAAAGCCCCCCCCCACAGTGCAACTTAACTACAAAGGGATTTGCAGCCCCACCCTCTGCATGTTGACTCAGAGGTCAGTCCTCCGTTCAAAGGGGGGGGGGCAGCCCCATTCCGCCTAGTGATGCTCCTCTCTGCTTAACCCCCTCCATTTCCCTTCTCACGGCTGCCCCCTCCTGCCCCCCCATCGCTCCCCCCAGGGCTCTGCCTCCTGCGTCAGGAAGCCGGTCAGGGCGGGAGGGGAGGGCTGAGCTCCTCCAGGACCCTGATCTCCCCCCTCCGAAATCTCCTGCTGAAGCCCCTGCCTCAGTGGGTCGGAGATGGGGGGGGGGGCAAGCAGGGGAGAGGAAGTGGAAGCAGCTGGAGAACAGAGTCGCCTCTGGATTAGGAGAGAGGGGGGAGATTTTGAGTTGGGTGGGGGGTGAGAGGTGGACAGTTCCCTTGACATTGGCCTCCGGAGCTTCATGAGTAAGAAAGAGGCTGATGTGAGAAGGAAGCAAAAGGAAACAAGGATGTGCTTCTTGGGAAGGGGGAGGCCCCCCAGCCCCCCTTTCAGAAATCCTAGTCTGGCCGGCTGAGGTTGCTTTGGCACAAAGGAAAGAGCCTTGTTGGGTTTCCCATGTTGGGGGTGCAGTTGGGGGGGGGTCTGCTGTGCTGCTTTTGCGCCCCAAAACTGGAGGGAAGAGGCATTTTTCATTCCCGGAAGCATGAAAAAGCACCTCATCAGTTTCCCTCCGGCTTGGCAAGGGAAATGGGCCCATGGATGGCAGGATTTGAAAGTGATCAAGGTCTCAGAAGCCCTTTAAACACCTTCAAGGCCAAGACTGGAGGAATTAAAGAAATGCCCCCTCCCCAGCTGGACTTGGGGGAAAGGGGGAGGGGGAGGAAACTGATAACCACCACCACCCCTGCAAATATGCAAACCAGGCAGATACATTTTGAGCTGTGACCTTTACACATCTTCCGATCCCGAGATCATGGGGTGGTACAAGGTTATTTTGGCACCTGTTTCCACCGCGTCATTTTCCCCATGCACAGTGTATGACGAAGGAGACAAAAGGTTTCAGAGACAAAGGTTATAGACAGGATACCGCAGACTACTGAGACCGCAAAAGGTTAGACAGAGGGAACGATGTTCAGACAGCTGTGGCTTGTCTGGGGGGGGGGAGTGTGCCCCACACCCCAAGGTCACGCGTGCAGGCAAACTCTGGCTGCCTGCTGGTGGGGAGTGTGCTCCCTCCGGACCCCACTCCGCGATCATCCCTACAACAATCCATGTTAGCGCATAGAGTGCTCTAAATATTTCATCTGCTCCCCTTGGAGGGAGCTTCTGCACCCTGGTGCCCTCCAGATGTTGCTTTTCTTCCAACTGCAGCTTTAGGAGTTTCCCTTATTTTCTATACAGTATTCTAAATGTATCAAAGGGTCAGAAACTGGTTTCCTGGATGGCTGTTTGGAGGAAAGGAAAAGCGAGGTCTGCAGAGGTACTGACCGTAATGCGTTCTGCGAAGCTTCATTAAGAGTTTGGGATTTGATCCTAGAACTTTACAGTCCGAAGATGAAGGTTCCCTAAAGAATGAGGCAGCTTATATTATTATAAAGTCCCTGTAGAAAAGATTACATCCTTCCAGTTCCCTGCCTTGTACTTCCTGGAAGGGACCCACAGGAGATCTGGTCCCTGGTTTACTTCCTTTAGTCTATATATATATATATATATATATATATATATATGTATATTGGTGTGTGTGTGTGTGTATATATATATATATATATATATATACACCCCCCCCCATAAAAATGCATGTCAACCAAACCTATTCTCCTGACCTTCAAGGTCTAATATATCTAATATATTCTCTAAGCCAGCATAAGCAGGATGCCTCACAATATAATATAATCGTAAATCTGGCAGGGAGAAGCCGCCCCTATCTTTGGTATCCGTTAGTAATTTATATTTCATTGTGAATATTAATGCTGCCTGTGTAAATGTGTCCCACCCTAAATAAACCTGCCTTTCTGTAAACTGCCCTGAGACCTCAGGGTATAGGGCGGTATATAGATTCTAATAATAATAATAATAATAATATTTTTTGCATTGTTATCCCTGTGTTGAAGTGCATCGTGGCAACAGCTGAGAGAGTCCCAGAAGTGGCCTGGTTTATGATTCCTCCTCCTCCTCCGTCTTTTCCACTGGCAACGCAATGGTCTCTGATACACCCTCTGAACGGTCTCTTCTTAAAGATGGAGTGGAAAGAGGAGCCAGGCAGCTTCCTCAGGTAGGGAAAGAGCAACGGGAGCAGGGAGGAGGGAAGAGGCACAGATGGGACCACCCAGCCTCCCTCTGTGTTGAGTGGGGATGATGGGGATCTAAGAGCAGCTCTGTCTTCTTCCTCTTCTTCTTCCAGGCCCTCTTGACCTTTGAGGAGGTGGCTGTGTTTTTCACGGAGGAGGAATGGGCTCTGCTGGATCCTGGCCAAAGAGCTCTGCACAAGGAAGTCATGGAGGAGAATTATGAGATGGTGGCCTCTCTAGGTAAGGGCAGATTTTTATCTCTCTTGGCTGTTAGACGTTGGAGGTGTGAATCTGCTGTTTGAGCCATTTATTCATGCTGTGTCTTTGGTACTTTGGTGACCCCTCGTAGCCGAGTAAGATTGTCATCCATGAACACGGTCTTAATGGTGTGTCCGTAAGGGACTGTGGAGTCCAATTCTGGATCCACACATCCTTCCACAGTAGGGACATAGGTTTCCAGGCAGGAGTTAATTACAGTGAGGGTTTGCCAAATGTACTTTCCTCTTAGTTTGTTTGTCCCTTTCGTCCGGAGTTTGTGTTTCTTCAAAGTCCATTACACCTTTGGTAAAGGATATTCTCCAACTGGAGCACTCACAGGCCAGTGTTTCCCAATTTTCTGTGCTTATACTGCATTTCTTTAGATTTGGCTTGAGAGCATCTTTAAACCTCTTTCATTGTCCTTCGGTATTTCTCTTTCCATTCTTAAATTGGGAATAGAGTAATTGCTTTGGAAGATGATAATCAGGCATCCGAACAACATGACCAGCCCACCAAAGTTGATGTTGAAGATTGTAGTTTATAGCAATGCTGTACTTTTGTCAGTAGACAACTGTTCATAAACTGATATTGTGGTATGAATTCCCCCCCAAAACCTATGTAGAATCTACAAGGAGAGTCACAGGCTTGGGCCTTCCTGGTCCGTGTTATTTATTAGCTTTTAATGGGCCACCAAATACTTTGCTGTCTTTGTTTCACAAGATTAATATTTTTGAATATTTTTACAGCCACATATGACATAAACATATTAAATAAACAACATTTCTGCTTTACTTATTCCACATAGCAGAGACTCTGATACTCAAGTCTGAGCTCATCTCCTCGCTTGGAACAGAAAATTACAGGGATGTTGTCCTGGACCAATTGAGTGGTACATACCTCCACTTTGCTGTGAGGCTGTGCCTTGTGTGTCTCCTTTCAGTGTGTACAAATATAAAAAGAGCCCTTTTGGATCAGAACGAGGGCCCATCTTCTCCAGCACCCTGGTGCAGGTTTAGGTGATGTGAACAGTTTCCTGGAATGTATCAGCCAGATATTACAGATCAGGGAGGAAGGAGAAAACTGAATACAGAGGCGTAGCATTTTCACAGGAGGGGTAAGATGGAGAAAGTGTGTCCCTCCAGAGGTTGCTGCACTACAACTCCCATCAGCCCTGGTCATTGGACTTTTTTAGTTGGGCTGATGGTACTTAGAGTCCAACCACATCTGCAGGGCCATAGATGCCTCACCTCAGCATAGAAGATATCTCCTGGTGCTCAGTGTTACATGCGAGTTGAAGGTAGAACTGGATACTAAGGGTTCTGGAGATTATTTTCAGATTTCCTTTCCTTTCCCAAAAATTTGGTTCATAGGAGAGGGAGGAAGGCTGGAGGTGTTAAAATAAGAGAAAGTGCTGATTGGTCTTGCTGTATCTTAAGTTCTCTTGTTGTTTTTCTTGAATACTTAACAGTATCGCTCCCCCCCCTTTAAACCAGGTGATGGAGAAGGCAATCAGAATTTTGAGGGGCCATCTGTAAAGTACTTCAGCGTGAGTGAACACCTTAGCACACAACTACAAACGAACGCAGGGGAGAAACCCTTTAAATTTATGGAGTGTGGGAAGGGTTTCATTGAGAGTGGAGCTCTTACAAGACATCAACGAACTCACACAGGGGAGAACCCATTTCAATGTATGGACTGTAGGAAGAGCTTCAGGGATATGGGAAAACTTACAAGACATCAACGAACTCACAAAGGCGAGAAACCATTTAAATGTATGGAGTGTGGGAAGGGTTTCCTTGGCAGTGGAGCTCTTAGAGTACATCAACGAATTCACACCGGGGAGAAACCATTTAAATGTATAGAGTGTGGGAAGGGTTTCATTGAGAGAGGAGCTCTTACAAAACATCAACGAACTCACACAGGCGAGAAACCATTTAAATGTATAGAGTGTGGGAAGGGTTTCTTTGAGAGAGGAGATCTTACAAAACATCAACGAACTCACACAGGCGAGAAACCATTTAAATGTTTGGAATGTGGGAAGAGCTTCTGTCAGACTGGAAATCTTGCAACACATCTGCGAACTCACACAGGCGAGAAACCATTTAAATGTATGGAGTGCGGAAGGAGTTTCAGTCTGAATGGAAATCTTACTATACATCAACAAACTCACACAGGCGAGAAACCATTTAAATGTATGGAGTGTGGGAAGGGTTTCAGTCAGTGTTCACAACTTACTATACATCGAAGAACTCACACAGGGGAGAAACCATTTAAATGTATGGAGTGTGGGAAGGGTTTCATTGAGAGAGGAGCTCTTACAAAACATCAACAAACTCACACAGGCGAGAAACCATTTAAATGTATGGAGTGTGGGAAGGGTTTCATTGAGAGAGGAGCTCTTACAAAACATCAACAAACTCACACAGGCGAGAAACCATTTAAATGTATAGAGTGTGGGAAGGGTTTCATTGAGAGAGGAGCTCTTACAAAACATCAACGAACTCACACAGGCGAGAAACCATTTAAATGTATAGAGTGTGGGAAGGGTTTCATTGAGAGAGGAGATCTTACAAAACATCAACGAACTCACACAGGCGAGAAACCATTTAAATGTATGGAGTGTGGGAAGGGTTTCAGTCAGTGTTCACAACTTACTATACATCGAAGAACTCACACAGGGGAGAAACCATATAAATGTTTGGAGTGTGGGAAGGGTTTCAGTCAAGGGGGGAGACTCAATGTGCACCGACAAAGTCACGCTGGGGAGAAACCATTTAAATGTATGGAGTGTGGGAAGGGTTTCCGTGAAGGTGGAAAACTTACAAGACATCACCAAACTCACACAGGGGAGAAACCATTTAAATGTATAGAGTGTGGGAAGGGTTTCATTGAGAGAGGAGCTCTTACAAAACATCAACGAACTCACACAGGCGAGAAACCATTTAAATGTATAGAGTGTGGGAAGGGTTTCATTGAGAGAGGAGCTCTTACAAAACATCAACGAACTCACACAGGTGAGAAACCATTTAAATGTATAGAGTGTGGGAAGGGTTTCATTGATAGAGGAGCTCTTACAAAACATCAACAAACTCACACAGGCGAGAAACCATTTAAATGTATGGAGTGCGGAAGGAGTTTCAGTCAGAATGGAAACCTTACTATACATCAACGAACTCACACAGGCGAGAAACCATTTAAATGCTTGGAATGTGGGAAGAGCTTCAGTCAGAATGGAGCTCTTACAACACATATACAAACTCACACAGGTGAGAAACCATTTAAATGTATAGAGTGTGGGAAGGGTTTCATTGGCAGTGGAGCTCTTAGAGTACATCAACGAACTCACACAGGTGAGAAACCATTTAAATGTATAGAGTGTGGGAAGGGTTTCATTGAGAGAGGAGCTCTTACAAAACATCAACGAACTCACACAGGCGAGAAACCATTTAAATGTTTGGAATGTGGGAAGAGCTGTCGGACTGGAGCTCTTGCAACACATCTACAAACTCACAAAGGCGAGAAACCATTTAAATGTATGGAGTGCGGAAGGAGTTTCAGTCAGAATGGAAACCTTACTATACATCAACGAACTCACACAGGCGAGAAACCATTTAAATGCTTGGAATGTGGGAAGAGATTCAGTCAGAATGGAGCCCTTACAAGACATCTACGAACTCACACGGGAGAAACCATTTAAATCTTTGGAGTGTGGGGAGGGTTTCAGTCAAGGGGAAAGCTTACTGTGTGAGGCTGAAAAGGCGTTTTCCATAAACTCTGTATGAATAAAGTTTCTATGTTAGTATTAAGGGTGTTCTTTCAAAATAGTTGGTTTTGAGTTTCCCAGGGTATCAAACAACAGCACTGATGTAACATTTATATGTAACTAATGTAACATTTATATGTAATGAATGACACAATATTAATACTAATGTTCAGATATATAGTTAATTTCTTAAAGAATATATGTGGTTTAGTGAAATGTCTTTATTCAATCATAGGAATAGTCAATCAGGGATAGTCTGTGAGGACCACAAGTGATCTCATGGTATAATTGATGATATATTTAGTATGCTTAATGGTATGAATGGAGGATATGAATGGAGAAGTGTCTGAAGTGAGTGAGATCAGATGGCACTATGACTCTGAAGACAAGATAAAGAAATGATTCAATGGAAGATGAAGAATTATTGAGTTAGCCAGTGGACCAGGCGAAATCAGGATGGACAAAAATAATTGGGTGAAAATATGACATAAGCAGGATGACAGCATGTCTGGGTGAAGTAGGACAACCTGAAAACTAAAAATATGATTGATGAATGAGTGATGAATGAATGAGTCCTTATTGCTTATTACTTGTTAATCAATAAAGATTGGTAATCTGAAGAGAATTGTATCATTTTGTCTTTCTTGAAAACACTATGATAAAGGTGAAAAGGGACTTAACTCTGTTTTCGTGACAACTGTACATCAACGGACTCACACGGGAGAAACCATATAAATGTTTGGAGTGTGGGAAGGGTTTCAGTCAAGGGGGAAAACTTACTGTACATCAACGGCCTCACGCGGGAGAAACCATAGAAACGGAGTGTGGAGAGTGCTTCATTTGTAGTAGGAAACTCAATGTGTACTGGCAAAGTCACACCGGGAGAAACCATTTAAATGTAAGAATTGTGGGAAGGGCTTCAGTGAAGGTAGAAAACTTACAAGACATCTACAAACTCATACAGGGGAGAAACCATTTAAATGTATGGATTGTGCGAAGGGTTTCTTTCAGAGTGGAACTCTTACAAGACATCAACAAACACATGGGTGAGAAACCATTTAAATGAATGGAGTGTGGGAAGTGCTTCAATTATAACGGAGTTATTAATAAACACCTATGGGCTCTCACAGGGAAGAACCCATTTAGTTTTATGGAGTGTGCCAAGTTTTCCCCACTGAGTTCACTTTGTCCCTCATATCAACAAACTCATATGGGGAAAAATCCATTGTAAATGCATGGAGTGTATTTGATGTTCTGGTGTTTGTGTGGAAAGTTGTACATGTATGTATTAAAGCAATGAAGGTAATGTCTCCTAATAGCAAGTATCATGAAAGAGATAATGTACCATTACAGTGGTGCCTCACAAGACGAAATTAATTCGTTCCGCGAGTTTTTTCGTCTAGCGTATTTTTCATCTTGCGAAGCACGAAATCCCATAGGAATGCATTGAAATTCAATTAATGTGTTCCTATGGTCAAAAAAAGTCCAAACAAAGCCAAATTTGGTACAACAAGAGTTTATTAAGTGCTCTTTAAAGTCACACATACTTAAAGAGCATTTCAAAAATTGAAGGAACAATAAATTAAGTTTCTAAACATGACAGAAAAACATTTAAAAATCAACAAAGTGTACAGTACATTTTCTAAGACTCTGGGGGACAACTCGAAGAAGGTTCCTCTTCCACTCTTTGCTTCTTGCTGAAGAACCTGTCCATGGTCTGCTGCTTCATCCGCCTTTTCAGCACCTCCCTGAAAGGTGACATTACCCTCGTATCAAAAGTGTTCGCAAGGTCATGTGCCACGTGCTTGTCAGGGTGGTGCCGCTGTGCAAAAGCCTGCACATCCTTCCACTTCAGGCAAATGTCCCTCAGTTCTTTGGAGGACAGCCATTCCTCAGTTGCTTCCTCCTCTTCCAGCGAGGCCTGCTCCTGTGCAGCCTCTGCCTGCAGTTCGACCAGCTCCTGGGTGGTCAGCTCGTGGTCGTGCTCCTCCACCAGCTCGCTGATGTCCTCCTCTGTGACCTCCAGGCCCATGGTCCTCCCCAAGGCAACAATGTCCTGCACCACTGTTGACTCTGGTGCATCAGAGTCACTTGGTGCCACACAGTCCGGCCACAGGCTGCGCCAAGCGCAATTCAAATTTCTCTGGCTGATCCCGTTCCAGGCCGTGGTGATCATCTTCAAGCAGGTGACGATGTCGAAGTGGTCCTTCCAGAATTCCCGCAGGGTGATGGTGGTGCAATCAGTCACCTCGAAGCATCGCCTGAAAAGCTCCTTGGTGTAGAGTTTTTTGAAATTGACGATGACCTGCTGATCCATCGGCTGGAGCAGTGGCGTGGTGTTAGGCGGCAGGAACATGATGCTGATGAAGCTGAACTCCTCCAACAAGTCCTCCTCAAGGCCTTTAGGATGAGCAGGAGCATTGTCCATCAGAAGCAAAGCCTTCAGTGGCAGGTCGTTGTCCAGCAGGTACTGTTTGACAGCAGGGCCAAAAGCAAGATTGACCCAGTCCACAAACAGCACACGTGTGACCCAAGCCTTACTGTTGGATCGCCACATGACACTCAGCTGCTCCTTGTCAACCTTTTGTTTCTTGAAGACCCGTGGGTTCTCTGAGTGGTACACCAGCAGGGGCTTGATCTTCAGGTCGCCACTTGCGTTGGCACAGAAGAGCAGGGTCAGACGGTCCTTCATGGGCTTGTGGCCAGGCAACTTGGCCTCCTCCTGTGTGATGAAAGTCCTTTTGGGCATCCTCTTCCAAAACAGCCCGGTCTCGTCGCAGTTGAAGACCTGCTGTGGAACGTAGCCCTCCGTCTTCACAACCTCCAGGAACTCCACTGCAAAGTCTTCAGTCGCAGAAACATCAGAACTGGCAGCCTCTCCATGCCTGACCACGCTGTGGATTCCAGATCTTGTCTTGAACCGGTCAAACCAGCCTCTGCTTGCCTTGAAGACTTCTGGCTTGCCTGAGGTTCCTGGCTGTTCCCGGACAAGGTCTGCGTGCAAGGCCTTGGCCTTCTCACAAATGACGGCCTCAGTCACTGTGTCCCCTGCACGCTGCTTCTCTTCTAACCAGATGAGCAGCAACTTCTCCACCTCCTCCAGAACAGCTGGGCGGTTCTTCACGATCCTGGTGACTCCCTTGGCTGCATCAGTCGCAAGGATCTTCTCCCTCATCTTCAGGATGGTCCCGATGGTCGATGGATTCCTCCTGTACTCCCTGGCGAGGTCTGTCACACGCATTCCACCGTCGTGCTTCCGGATGATCTCCTTCTTCATTTCCAGCGTAACCTTCTCCTTCTTCCCCTCGCCGGCCTCTGCAGCAGCAGTCTTCTTGGGTCCCATGGCAGCACAGCTCCTACCTGCGCAACCCCCCCCCCAAAAAATCAGTGCTTCACATCCAAAAAATTCAAAAGCACCCAGCCACCCACCACACAGAAATTCAAACCCAGAACCAAGTCCTTGAATTCCAAACACGCCAACCCAAAATCCAAAAACCCCCCAAAAAGTTTTAAAAGTTTAACTTACCGAATGGCTGCAAAAGAAGTTTTGGAAAAGCTTCAAAAATCACCAAAGTCTTCAAAAACCTCAACTATTCCCCCAGCCACCCACCACACAGAAATTGCAAACCCCTCCCCAACTGTTGCAAACCCCTCTCCAACTGTTCCCCCAGTCACCCACCACACAGAAATTGAAACCCAGAATTTTTTTTAAAAAAAACAGCAGAGTGGCCCAACGGTCACAGAAAATCATAAAAATGCAGAAAAAAACCACACAAGCTTCCAGATTCTTGCCAACCCCTCCCCAACACCAAGTCCTTGAATTCCAAACACCCCAACCCAAAATCCAAAACCCCCCAAAAAAGTTTTAAAAGTTTAACTTACCAAATGGCTGCAAAAGAAGTTTTGGAAAAGCTTCAAAAATCACCAAAGTCTTCAAAAACCTCAAAAAGACTACCACACCACAGTGCTATGAGTTGCTCCTCGAAGTCAAGGCGCAACTGCACCTCTTCAAGCAATGCACCCTGGGTATTAACGGTTTTATGAAAAAGGAAACAAACTTGCAAGACGTTTTCGTCTTGCGAAGCAAGCCCATAGGGAAATTCGTCTTGCGAAGCACCTCAAAAAATGAAAAACCCTTTCGTCTAGTGAGTTTTTCATCTTGCGAGGCATTCGTCTTGCGGGGCACCACTGTAGGTGTTTGTAGAACGTGACTCTGGGGAGACATTTTGAGTGAACATGTGCTGAGTGTCACTTGATATCTGATCTTTGGCAGAGAGAGTTGGGAATGGAGAGTTGTGAAAAGTGGAGCACGCAGGATTGGCTCTAGAATCATAGAAGTGTGGAGTTGAAAGGGACTCCAGGGTCTTCTAGTCCAACTCCCTGTTATAAGAACAGCAGCACAAAACCCATTTTTCTAATTGCAATAAAGGAACAATGAAAACACAGAAAGACTGGAAAGTAATCTCCAAAGCCCCCTATGTTGTTTATATTTTATGAATTCATTTTTTTACAATACCTTCTCGTTCATGGCTACATTAATGGCAAAGTGGATAAAATCCCTGGTGGCAGCCGGAATAAAGGAGGTGCCGCGGGGAAGAACCAATCTGGGGAGGGAAGGTGGCACAGGGAAATGTGGGCATTGCCAGTGGTTTCAGGAGGACCGCCTGAGGGAAGCCTGAATGTGGGATATGAAGCTGTCAGTCAAGTCCAACATTCTGAGAGGACTAACTGCCTCTATGTGGCAGGCAGTTTTGTCCGTTGGTCAGTTGCTGCAAGGAGTGTTAACTGTTAACTGCTCGGATGCCGTCTTCTCATGACTCACTACTATCTAGTATATAGTTTATCTGTTATGTAACCGAAGCCTGCCCTCAGGAACAAGTCTGTCAACCTGAATGAATCTGTTAGTAAAGTAGTTTATGTTAATATGATTCAGA